CTGGTAGACCTGATACGACTGCAGGCATTAGCTAAGAACTGACAAACTCGTAGCTGGCGCCCTAGACTGGTCCCCTGTAGGTGAGTGTGGCTCAGACTGACGAGGAAGTGTGGGGTTCACTCTCTAACATGCTGGGCAGTTGCTGCCTGCGTTACTCTCCCTGGCGATGTTCGCTCTGACCATGTGACGCCAGCCACGGGAACGGACCCACCCAGGAGGGCGCTCAAATTGAAAGCGGGCCATTATTAGCCAAAGCTTTAATTGTCCCCTGTCCCCATGGAGAAGTGCAGCAGCCGCGGCCCACCGCTTTGCAGGCTGGAAGAGGGAAATAAAAATCATGGACGTGAAGATTTTTCATCTTGTCGCCCTCACGGGGCCAGAGACATGAAACTGGAGCCCGAGTCCCCCGGTGCTGCCCTGAATGCCCCTGTGAAGTGACAGCTCACTGCAGCTCTTCACTCGCTGGCTCTAACCTGCCATTTCGTTAACAAACCTGTCGCTCGTTGATTCCAGGACTGGCTACGGGTGCTGGCATTGGTGTAAGAGCCAGGGGGCCAATTGTTCTGGGGTAAGTGACTGGCTCAGGTCTGGGAACAACCTGAATGTGGAGTGATTTTTGGTGACCTCTGATCACTAGTGCAGTTTGTCAGGGGGCCAGGCGGGATGGTGAGCCCCAGGGGCATGGCTGGGTCTCCCTGGGGAGACTGAAACATAGAATATCAGGGTTGGAAGGGACCTCAGGAGGTCATCTAGTCCAACCCCCTGCTCATGGCAGGACCAATCCCCAACTAAATCATCCCAGCCAGGGCTTTGTCAAGCCTGACCTTAAAAACCTCCAAGGAAGGAGACTCCACCACCTCCCTAGGTAACCCATTCCAGTGCTTCACCACCCTCCTAGTGAAATAGTGTTTCCTAATATCCAACCTAGACCTCCCCCACTGCAACTTGAGACCATTGCTCCTTGTTCTGTCATCAGGTACCACTGAGAACAGTCTAGATCCATCCTCTTTGGAACCCCCCCTCAGGTAGTTGAAAGCAGCTATCAAATCCCCCCTCATTCTTCTCTTCTGGAGACTAAACAATCCCAGTTCCCTCAGCCTCTCCTCATAAGTCATGTGCTTCAGACCCCTAATCATTTTTGTTGCTCTCCGCTGGACTCTTTCCAATTTTTCCACATCCTTCTTGTAGTGTGGGGCCCAGAACTGGACACAGTACTCCAGATGAGGTCTCACCAATGTCGAATAAAGGGAAATGATCATGTTCCTCGACCTGCTGGCAATGCCCCTACTTATACAGCCCAAAATGCCGTTAGCCTTCTTGGCAACAAGAGCACACTGTTGACTCATATCCAGCTTCTCGTCCACTGTGACCCCTAGGTCCTTTTCTGCAGAACTGCTACCCAGCCATTCGGTCCCTAGTCTGTAGCAGTGCATAGGATTCTTCTGTCCTAAGTACAGGACTCTGCACTTGTCCTTGTTGAACCTCATCAGGTTTTTTTTGGCCCAATCCTCTAATTTGTCTAGGTCCCTCTGTATCTGATCCCTACCCTCCAGCATATCTACCACGCCTCCCAGTTTAGTGTCATCTGCAAACTTGCTGAGGGTGCAGTCCACGCCATCCTCCAGATCATTAATGAAGATATTAAACAAAACTGGCCCCAGGACCGACCCTTGGGGCACTCCGCTTGAAACCGGCTGCCAACTAGACATGGAGCCATTGATCACTACCCGTTGAGCCTGACGATCTAGCCAGCTTTCTATCCACCTTACAGTCTATTCATCCAGCCCATACTTCTTTAAATTGGCGGCAAGAATACTGTGGGAGACCGTATCAAAAGCTTTGCTAAAGTCAAGGAATAACACATCCACTGCTTTCCCCTCATCCATAGAGCCAGTTATCTCCTCATAAGCCAGAGCCCTAGAAGTTTGCATTTGTTACTGGCTTAGTGACCTCTAATTGTAGGCCACGCTGCCATCTGGGGGGGTCTGCCCTGCTTTCGCCAGTCTGCCCTAAGGGTGGCACTCGCGGGCGTGAGCCGCTCCAGGCAGCCTGACACTGGGTACAGACACACCTGGGCAGCGATCCACCAGGAACTAACCTAATTCTTCTCTGAACCCAGTTATACTTTTGGCCTTCACAACATCCCCTGGCAACCAGTTCCACAGGCTGGCTGTGCGTTGGGTGAAGAAATACATCCTTGTGTTTGTTTTAAACCTGCTGCCTATTCATTTCATTTGGTGACCCTAGTTCTTGTGTTATGAGAAGGAGTAAATAACACTTCCTTATTTACTGTCTCCACACCAGTTATGATTTTATAGACCTCTATCATATCCCCCACCCCCCAGTCGTCTCTTTTCCAAGCTGAAAAGTCCCAGTCTTATTAATCTCTCCTCAGATGGAAGCCGTTCCAGACCCCTAATCATTTTTGTTGCCCTTCTCTGAAACTTTTTAAATTCTAATATATCTTTTTTGAGATGAGGAGACCACATCTGCGCACAGTTTTCAAGGTGTGGGCGTACCATGGATTTATATAGAGGCAATATGATATTTTCTGTCTTATTATCAATCCATTTCTTGATGATTCCCAACATTCTGTTCGCTTTTTTGACTGCCGCTGCACATTGAGCGGATGTTTTCAGAGAACTCTCCACAATGACTCCAAGATCTTTCTTGAGTGGTAACAGCTAATTTAGACCCCATCATTTTACATGTATAGTTGGGATGATGTTTTCCAATGTGCATTACTTTACATTGATCAGCAATTGAATTTCATCTGCCATTTTGTTGCTCAGTCACCCAGTTTAGTGAGATCCCTTTGTATCTCCAAAGCAGACTGCAAAGAGTGAACTATCTTGAGTAGTTTTGTATCATCTGCAAACTTTCCCACCTCACTGTTTCCCCCTTTTCCCAGATGGTTTATGAATATGTTGAATAGGACTGGGCCCAGCACAGACCCTTGGGGGACACCACTATTTACCTCTCTCCATTCTGAAAACTGACCATTTATCCCTACCCTTTGTTTCCTGTCTTTTAACCAGTTACCGACCCATGCAGGGCCAGCTCCAGGCACCAGCTCAGCAAGCAGGTGCTTGGGACGGCCAAGGGGAAGGGCGGCACGTCGGGCTCTTCGGCGGCAATTCGGCGGGGAGTCCCTCAGTCCCTCTCGGAGGGAAGGACCTGCTGCCGAATTGCCACCGAAGAAGAAAGCAGCGCGGTGGAGCTGCCGCCGATCGCGACTTGGGGCGGCAAAAACCCTGGAACCGGCCCTGGACCCACGAGAAGAGCTTCCCTCTTATCCCATGACAGCTTACTTTGCTTAAGAGCCTTTGGAGAGGGACCTTGTCAAAGGCTTTCTGAAAATCTAAGTCACTATATCCACTGGATCCCCCTTGTCCACATGCTTGTCGACCCCCTGTCACGTTATTGATTTGAACTGGGACCGTATAGAACATGGTTGCAACCAAAGTCCTGTAGTGGCACCAAATCTTGTATAAACGGGATCAAATGAGGTGTCTAAGACAAGGTGATGGTTGGCTGGTTATAATTATGCTGTCTATATGTGTGTATCAGTTTTGTAGTTGAAGTTATGAATATTGGCTCTACACTGTCTGTATTTCAAACTTATGCTATGCTTCTGGGAAACATCCCAGACAAGTTGGTGTTAGCTCTGCCTAGCCTGCTTGATGGCCCATTAAGGACCATCAGCTATACAACTGACCCATTGAGAGAAGGCAAATACGCCTTGTAACTCAGCAAAGTATGCAGGGACCGGCCCATGTGACTCCAGACTCCATTTTGCTGCAATTTTCCACAGTAAGAACAAAGAGGTGTTCTTACACCTGGAAAAGACTATAAAAGGCTGATGCCTCATCTCCATTTTGTCTTCAATCCTGCTTCTTATCTCTGGAGGGACTTCGCTACAAACAGAAGCTCTGAACAAAGGACTGAGGACCCATCCCAGCTGGGGATGTTCCAGAGACTTGATTTGAACCTGCAGTTTATTCTATCACTGCTACAAGCCTGACCCAAGAACTTTGCCATTACTGTATGTCATTGATTCCATTTAACCAATTCTAGCTCTCATCTCTATCTTTTTCCTTTTATGAATAAACCTTTAGATTTTAGATTCTAAAGGGTTGGCAACAGCGTGATTTGTGGGTAAGATCTGATTTGTATATTGATCTGGGTCTGGGGCTTGGTCCTATGGGATCAGGAGAACCTTTTTTCTTTTACTGGGGTATTGGTTTTCATAACCATTTGTCCCCATAACAAGTGGCACTGGTGGTGATACTGGGAAACTGGAGTGTCTAAGGGAATTGCTTGTGTGACTTGTGGTTAGCCAGTGGGGTGAGACCGAAGTCGTCTTTGTCTGGCTGGTTTGGTTTGCCTTAGAGGTGGAAAAACCCCAGCATCGTTACACCCCCTCAAAGAATTCTAGTAGATTGGGGAGGAATTATTTCCCTTTACAAAAACCATGTTGACTCTTTCCCAACAAATTGTGGGTTCAAACTTCTCCAGGATGTTGGTTAAAGGGACCCTGCTTTGTTCAGTCATGATGGGGAAAGAGATATTACAAAGGGGGAATTTTCTGTACTGTTTTTTATAAATGCTATGTGTGCCTCAGTTTCTCCCATACTTTGTGTTGCAACCCAGCAGGGACCCAGAGGGGTGATGGCTTAAGATGATCTGCCAGGGAGTGGGTTGTGGGGAGCAGAGGGGGGTTTGGGGCGATCAGTCAGGGGGCAGGTTGTGGCTGCCGTAGCTCAGAATAATTTTGGTTTTTACAACAGAGAATCTGCCCAGCTCCCTTTTCAGTGAGACCCTGCCCCTGCCCCCAGCTCTGCTCCCTGGCCCTGGCCCCCGGCTTTGCACCCAGCCTCCCCTGCCCCATGACCCCTGGCCCCCTGCCTGCCCCCTGGCCTTGCCCAGCAGCTGCAGCCTCTGCCCGCACCCCCCTGAGCTCCTCTGTGCACCATGCCCACCATGCCCCCCCAGCTCACCTTCCATGAGGACCCGGAAGACGTCCCTGAGGATGGTGACGGTGGAGCCCAGCACGAAGACGGAGAAGAGGAAGGTGCTGACGGGGTCTGCGATCTTGTACCGGGGCTGCAAGGGGCAGGGTCGGGGTTATGCCCAGGCAGCCAGCGGATCCCCAGAGCCGCACCCAGTGAGGGGTCAGACCTAGGAGTGGAACCCAGGAGTCCCTGGCCCAGCCCCACTGTCCCGAAGCTGGGGGGGGGGGGGGGCACCGAGGGAACGTGGCAGCAGAGGGCAGAGCCCAGCATGGGGAGCTGGCATAGGGCTCTTCCTTGGGGCTGGGCACCAGGGTCCCAGTGAGGGGGCCTGTGGGGATCTCAGTCTATTTCCCCATGGCAGGTCCTGTCTCCCCCCAGCCCCAGGGAGCCCCGGGACAGGCAGGAGCTGCAGGGCCGGGTCACTGGCCTGCTGCCACCTGGGACAGCATCTCCCACCCCAGGAGCTCAGGCCGAGGCAGGGAGCGGGGCACACAGGTGTCTGTGCAAAGGCGAACCCATGGGGGAGGGGACAGGTGGGCCCCTCAGAGGGAGGGACGTGGAAAGAGGGGCAGGGGGGCAGTGCAGGGAGGGAGACGGTTAGCAGGGGCGCGAGGCAGCGCAGGGAGGGACGTGGGTAGCGGGGGCGCGAGGCGGCGGACGGAGGGAGGCGGTTAGCGGGGGCACCAGGCGGAGGGGTTTGGGCTGCGTTTAGCGGGGGCACAAGGCGGAGGAGTTTGGGCCGTGGTTAGTGTGGGCGCGAGGCGGCGGAGGGAGGGACGCGGTTAGCGGGGGCGCCAGGCAGAGGGGTTTGGGCTGCGTTTAGCGGGGGCACAAGGCAGAGGGGTTTGGGCCGTGGTTAGTGTGGGCGCGAGGCGGCGGACGGAGGGAGGCGGTTAGCGGGGGCGCCAGGCGGAGGGAGGCGGTTAGCGGGGGCGCCAGGCGGAGGGAGGCGGTTAGCGGGGGCACCAGGCGGAGGGGTTTGGGCCGCGTTTAGCGGGGGCACAAGGCAGAGGAGTTTGGGCCGTGGTTGGTGTGGGCGCGAGGCGGCGGACGGAGGGACGCGGTTAGCTGGGGCGCCAGGAGGCCGAGGCAGGGCCGTGTTAGACGCTGGCCTGGGGTTGTTCGTGCCGTACCTCCACGTAGATGACGGTGGCAGCTGTCAGCACCCCGAGGCTTTGCAGCAGGTCCCCCACCACATGCACGAAGGCGGCGCGGACGCTGGTGCTGCCGGGCGGGGGGCCCCCGGGTGGCGCGCAGCAGCCAGGACTCTCCTCCATCTTCTCGTAGCCCCGGGCGTGGCCGTGGCCCGTGACCGACTGGTGCAGGATGTAGGCCATGCTGGAGGGAAGCGGGGAGCCTGAGCGGGCCGCGGGCAGACACAGAGCCCCGGGGGCCGCAGCACCGGCAGATCCCAGAGCCCCTCCCCCCGGAATGGGCAAGGTGGGTGGGCATTGATTGGGGGCTGGGCAGAGGCAGGAACGGGTCAGGTGGGGAGGGGTGTGATCCAGGGAGGCTGGGGGGCATCATTTTGGGGAGGGTGGGGGGGGGACAGTCACCTGGGCAGGGTGAACCGTGATCGAGGGGCAGGGAAGTGATCCAGGGGTGGGGGGGTGGCATGCAGGGATTCAGGGGGCCTGCGATCTGATGGGGGCAGGTATCCAGGGGTGCGGGACAAGGATCTGGGGGGCAGGGATCCAGGGGGTGGCAGTTGGGGGGCAGGGATCCGGGGGGCAGGGGTCTGGGGGTGTGGGGGTGGCAGTTGGGGATCTGGGGGCAGGGGCAAGGATCTGGGGGGCAGGGATCCGGGGGGCAGGGATCCGGGGGGGGGGGGGGGGGGGGTGGCAGGGATCCGGGGGGCAGGGGGGCCACGTACATGACGTTGATGCCCACGGCGCAGGCGGAGGTGACCAGCATGGCACGTGCGTCGATCTCGTAGTCGTTGCTGATGATGCGGGCTGAGGCCAGGTACACCAGGACACCGGTCACGACCCAGATGGACAGCACCGAGGCCAGGGCGCCCAGCGTCTCTGCAGGCACGGGGCAGCAGTCAGCGCCGCCCGCAGCTGTGGGGGCGGAGGGGAGTGGCCGGGAGCAGCCCGGCTGGGACCCATCCACGTCCCTCAGGGAGGAAAGGGTTAAAGACCTGCCTGCGGGGCCCGTTGCTGCAGGGACGCTGGCAATGTCTGTGCACGGCCCGTGCCTGCTTCAGTTTCCTCTGTGCCTGGCGCTGGTGTGCACACGGTGCCAAGGGCAGGAGACGGGGGGCCACAGGACAGCCTAGGGTCAGCCAAGGGGGTCATTAGGCCTGGCTAGAACCAGCCCGTCAGGGAGGCTCTGGACAACGGGAGCCCGAAGGCCTGGACCAGTGACCTGGCCACGGGAAGGCCTGGCCGCGGAGCCGGCACTGCAGGAGAAGGTGACAGGAGCTGGGACCAGAGCTGGGCTCACCAGAGACACGGCAGCTCTCACCTGCTGGGACTGACAGACAGAGACAGAGCCAGGAACCCGCACGCAGCCGCCGGGCTCCAGGGGCCCTGGCGTTGGCCAGCAGGGACTTAACCCCAACTTCTCTGGGCCAAGCCAAGGGCCCCCCACGCCACGCCCAGGGGACCGAGACCAGCTCTGGGGGAAAGGCTGCCTGGTGTCCCTGCAGGCACTGGCGGGTGCAGGGGTCCCTGCAGAGCGGCCGAGTCTCTCACGGGCATCTGGCTCAGCGGGACTCGCTGGGCTGAGGCAGGGGGCTGGAGCCCAGGGGCTCGGGATCAGAGGTGGTGAGGCCGCGTGGCCAACCCTGGGGGAAGAGTGGGACCCCTGGGGGGCTGGCACCCGGACGGGGCTGGGGCAAAGCACAGACCCTGGGGGTTCGTGAAGCCTATGAGGGGCAAGGCATCATGGGTAATGTGGTGCACCAAGGTGGCCAGCGGGGAGGATCTGCCTGTGGCCTGGGGGTGAGGGCTCTGCCCCCCCAGCTCCCCACGGGCCGAAGGGAGTGGGGGCACAGGCTGGCCCCTGCTCTGCCGGGCTGCCCAGGCTCAGGGAAATAAGTCCCCAGGTCGCCCCAGCATGGCAGGGAGACGGGGGGAGGAGGGGGAAGGTCTGTGAGGGCAGCGAGTGCTGGGCTGGAGCCATGTCCTGGTGGGGCCCTTACCTGAGCGGTGCCAGCCGAAGGTCATGGTCTTGGTGGGCGGCCTGGCGGAGACCCACAGGGAGAAGAGGCTGACCGACATGCTGCCCACGTCCGCCAGCAGATGGGCAGCATCAGTCATGATGGCCAGGCTGTGCGCCAGGTACCCGCCTGCAGTAGAGATTGGCCAGCTCAGCGCCAGGTGCTGGCAGGGCCCCCGCACAGCCCCCAGGCAGCACCTCTGCCCTCCGCTCCGGCCTGCGGGGGCTGGCTCCTTCCCCAGAGCGCTGGGCACTGACACGGCGTCCCCTTGCGCTGCCAGGGGGCCTGCCAGGGCGGGCGGGATCCAGCCAGGTGACTCCCATGAATGTGGGGACCCTGGCAGCGGGTGAGGGGAGCTGCCCCATCCCGCAGAGCTGAGGGGCCGGGGGCTGCACCAGGCCCACGCCGGGCACCTCTCTCCTGGCCCCCAGAGACCCGGGCTGCGCCTGCCAGCCAGCACATGAGCAAGGTGCAGAGCAGGACGTCCCGCAGCACGGGCTGAGCAGGGCCAGGAACAAGCCGGGCTGGGGTCCCGCTGCCACCTTACCGACAACCTCGCCGATCATGAAGACGAAGCAGATGGCGCAGGCGATGCCCAGCTTCCGACAGGCCTGCGGCTCCGCCCGGCTCTGGCTGGGGGTGCGGGGGCTGCGGTGGCAGTGCCTGGCCAGGCGCCGCTCCAGCTCCAGGGACGGAGCCACAGGGCTGGTCTCCGGGGGCAGGCCGGGGAAGGGCTCCCGGGAGCCTGTGAAGAGACTGAGACACAAGGGGGTCAGTGCGAAGGTCACCCCAGTTCCAACAGCCCACGGGACACCTGGCTGGGACAGGCCAGCCCGGCTCCTCGCTGAGGAGAGGCTGAGGGAACTGGGATTGTTTAGTCTGCAGAAGAGAAGAATGAGGGGGGATTTGATAGCTGCTTTCAACTACCTGAAAGGGGGTTCCAAAGAGGATGGAGCTCGGCTGTTCTCAGTGGTGGCAGATGACAGAACAAGGAGCAATGGTCTCAAGTTGCAGGGGTGGAGGTGTAGGTTGGATATTAGGAAAAACTGGGCCCAGAGCAGGGCTGGGAACCGGGACGGGAGGGGCTGTCACCGACCCGGCATCTGCCCTCATCTTTGGGGGCCCTGGCTCCACCCAGCTCTGCTGCTAGGTAGCAATGGAGTGAGTCCAGGGCACCTGCTGCCCCCTCGCCAGCCTGGCTGGGTTCCCCCTGAGGGCCCAGGTGACTGGTCCTGTCGCAGGCTGGGCAAAGCCCAGAGCAGCCCAGGCTCCTGGGAGAGGCCGCGGGGAAAGGAGGCTTGGCAAGTGTGGACCCTGGTGGCCCTGGGACATCACCCCAAGCCTGGATTCCCCAGGGGTGCCCAAAGCTGGAACAGTTGGGGGGCGACTGCTGGTCAGGACTATGGGGCAGGGATATGGGGTCAGG